GTAAGATCTGACAAGAATTTTAGAGTAAGAATTGATGTAAGATTTTTGAGACCACGATTTTTTGTATGATCGTACAAGACTTAATATCAGATTCTTTGACCTGGGAAGTCAAAAATCAGTTTTTTTTTCGATATTTCTTCAGAGAGATTATGACATTCATTTGAAATCTACCATAAAAATGAAAAATCTCAGTAACAATAAACTAAGGATATAAACTCTTGTCAAAGTATTCATAGCTCATTGGAATCTACATAATACATAGAGTCTTAAATAAAAAGTGATTTTTATCATTTGAATGACTTCTGATGTTATAATTTCAAGTAGAATGCTTCTAACTTCTGAATATTGAACTTTTGCGTTCGAATGCATACTAAATAATGTAAAATTCATTGTAAACATCTAATGATATAGGTTTGTTTTTAAAAACGTCGATTGAAAAAAAAACTTTAATTTACCCTTTGATCTGATATGATTTCTTCGAAAAGAAACTATATAAGTACAATATATATATATTTTTTTTTCATACAGATTTATCTGATTTATTAACTCTTTGATGGTAGTTTTTTTGAAAAATAAACAAAATTTTATTTTAAATATTATTAAACATTCTAAACAAAACAAATACATAAAAACTGTTACATAACTATAATGTCGCATACGGAAAGGAAAATATTGAAAATGCAAAATAAAATTTGAAATTTCTCAAAAAAATAAATTACGCAAATGTCCATATTATAGTCTTCACACATATTACATGAATCTTTTCTATTTTTGTGTTTCTTATTTGAAATTACAAGAGACATAAAGTTGATTTACAACTGGATATACTGTACGAAGCGGTAATACATAAAGTCGTTACTAGCAATGCATTTCATTTAAGCACAAAGCATACGAAAAAGAAAACCGTATTTTAATATAACTAAAGACATTTTTCTCTAACTAAATTTTTACAACCGTAAATTTTGCGGATTTCAATGTCAAAGGGTAAAAAGATTTAAGTGTTTGATTTAAATTGATTCGATGAATTCATATTTGAGATTAACAATTTCACTTACAATTCATAGTTTAATTCAATATATCAATTATTTATATTAACTACTATTTAATCAAAGATTTATTTTATTTCAGAAACGGTTTTTTTTTGTTTTTTCATTCCTAACATATTCAATATTTCAAATAAATAATTAATATAAATTTATTTATTTTTAATAGTTTAACTGAAGATCATAAACGAATGATACGATGTATACGTAAAATGCAATTAATTGTTGCTCGTAATCGATTTCAAGTAAATAAATATTTTTCTTGATTTTTTTTTTCTAAATTTTCTTCTAGCAAGCAAGAAAACCATATGATGTACGTGATGTACTTGAACAATATTCTCATGGACATATAAATATGATGATGAGAATAAAAGAATTACAACGAAAGTAAAACAACAAAAAAAAACAAATATATATAAATTTATCATCTATAGAAAATTTTTTTTTTGATTCAATTTATTGTTTTAGAATTGAACATACAATTGGTAAACAAGCACCCGTAGCAATTGAAGATCGTACTAAATTAACTGTTCTTGCACGAATGCAACGTGTTGAAGGTACAATGAATATTATGGGAGAAACTATGGAAAATATTTTAAAATTATTAAAAATTGTTGATGAAAAACTTGATCGAGTTTTACCTAATGATAATCGTTCGACAAAATCAATTTTAACACGAATGAATACAAAATTTTCTTCTACACAAGAAGGAATATTATAAAATGAATGTTATATATTTTGAAATAACATAAAAAAAAAAAGAAGAAAAAGGCAAAATTCAAAGATCAGAAACAAGTTGATTCGTTATTTCATATTGATTTGAAATAAAATTTTTTTTTTCTCGAAATTTTGAATACATTGATAATGAAGTTGCTCGTAATGGTACTCGATTTAATGGTATTTGTAATTCACCAAATGATTGTGAACGTCTTTCAACTTTAGGTTTAGTTGATTGAGTAAGAACAATTGATAAATGATCATTTAATTGTTCTATTGAATGTAATGATGAATTCCTTTGATTTTTTCGAGATATAGAATAACGTTTATATGAAATAAAATTATACATTAAATAAAATATAAGAATAAATAAAAGAATAATTAATAATACTATAACATATATACTAGTATAATCAATTGTTGATTTCGATGATAAAATTAAAATTTGATGTGTTTGATGAGAAAGTGTTATATTTGATTCAATCATTGCTAAAGATAAGAATTTAAGAATGTGTTTAGAAAAAATAATCTATTCTCTTTTCTTCTTCTTTTTCTGTTATTATTATCTTTTTTTTTGCCTTAAAAATGTCAATCCAGATTCAATTAGAAACTTAATAGACCGATCGACACAATAATATCATAATAAATTTATCAAAAAAAGAACAAAGTCCAATGCACCTACCAATATTATTAATCGTTAGTGTTCATCATTGTATTACATATTGTAATCATGTAATTTTTTTTTTGTTGTGATAATGAAGAGACGATCTTCACTTGTCGATTGTCTAGCTTCTTTTTATATAGATTTATTGAACAATGTTCTTTTGTTTCTTTTTTTTTTCTCTATATACTAAACAAATCTATTTCATTATTTATGCACTCAACATAGTATCATTGCTTTTAAAAGAATAAGACCTAGTTGAATGCTTGTAAGAAAAAATAAGTTTGAAAAATATGTAAATAAAACTAGAGAACCTAGAAAAATGTCAATCGAATTGAATTATACAAAGATATTTCTGATAAAAACGAAAGCAATCATTTCTTTTTTTTTCATGTGAACAGCTGTATTTGATTTGATCATAAAAGATAGTATAGACTTAGATCTTCGACATAGAATTTATATTCATGAAAATATAAAAGAATAATTATCATTGTTGAATCTACTTCTTATTGAAGAAGTATAAAATAAATGATGAGTTTTATATGAAAGTGATCATTAACATATAGACTTTGTCATACATAAGAAAAAGTATAGTTATTATATTAATTCTTGTAGATATATCAAAGTTGGAATCGATATTAGTCTAAGCGACTATACCAAGATGAATCATTTTTTACTTTTCTGATTTTACAAAAAAAAAAGCAAATCGAACCCTCAATTAATTACATCTACTTTTTAATCACTACAGCAATAATATACAAGTCCTGTCTCACATACTATTGCACTTAATACACACTTGAATTTTTGTCTCTACGCAGTTTTTTATTTAGAAGAAATCAAAATTATTTCAACGAGCATAAATAGAGCAAATGAGTGACTATTCGACAAACATCGAGTCCAGCTTTTTACACTCAGTGGTGCCCGAACGGGAGGTTGGGTACTCCCTGGTTTTGAAAATTTTCTTTTTTTTTGCTCAACAATTACCTCAAAATTTGATTTTTTTTGACATTTTCTCCCGTTTTTCGAAAGTGCCCCCTGCTTCGACCTCTTAGCGCCGCCCCTGTTCATACTTCTTTACTGTGTTACTTATTCTCACTCAGATTAAAGACATAGCACAAGATTTGTATTCAGGCATCAGACATATGAATTTAGGAATCAAATTTCACCAAATAAAGAACTATAAGATGAAATCTTCTATAGTTTTTTAATCTAAATTCTACATTATTTCAACGGTTATATATTCAGTAGGCATTGCACTGAATACACTGATAAGTGCCACATAAATTACTACCAGTGTAAGAAAAAGAACTGGAAATGTTGCATGAAATATCACAAAAATACTGATTGAAAATGTAAATAGTGTTAGATGATGGTATCTTTTGTGTTTTGTCGATTGACTAACATTTTTAATTATTAAATGCTATTTATTTCTGTGTACAGTTTTACTTCTATACTATTAATCTTTATTAATTTGATAAAAAACAGAAGAAACTTGGTCGTTGTGAAACATTGTCTCTAAAATTTTAGATTGAACTATTGCCCATTTAAGAAAAAAAGGTGAGTGGATATTTTTTGCATAATTTTTGATAGAAGCAAGATAGAGAGTTGCAGTTTTCATTGTGGAAAAGAAGCGATGAAGACGCATCGAATAGTATATTATATACTTCTCTAGGATTAAAATGATTTTTTTTCAAAGAAATTAATACCAAAATCAGCTGAAAGTTTCGAATAAAATACTTATAACTCCTGAATGAAAAAAATCTAAAAGTCTAGAACTTGTGCAATTTTATAGACCTTCATCTAGTGATTTGAATGCACACCTGATTATTGAAAATTGGCAGTAGTCATCTTACGGAGTATGTTGATTTTCAAAAATGTCGATTGAAATTCTTGAAAAAATAAAAGTCAAATTATTCGGTAATATGCAATTCAATGTGTCTCTATTTCCAACGGCGAAAACTACAGTTCTCTATTTTATTTCTATCAAAAGTTATTCAAAAGGTGAATTCTCATTTCGTCGAAAAGTAAAATTGAAAGAAAAAGAAGAAGAATATGAGTATCTGATTCTTCTTCTTTGAGTCTATTGAATAGACTAATTTTCATCAAAGAAATCAATTAAGCTATATCAATACGTCATTCAGTCAGCCATTCAATACCACCACGGAAAACTTATTTTTAAATCGAAATCTTCTATTAAAATATTTAGTTTTACATTTCGATGTTTGTTTTTTTTCTATTGTTTAGTTGATTATTAATCATCATGAAATTTGAATTATTATCAAATGAAATAATAATTGAATGTTTTGAATATCTCAATATATTTGATATATTTCATTCATTTGATCGATTAAATAATCGTTTTTCTTAAACTTCTTCGAAATATTCTTCAATACATATTAATTTTCAAAATATTTGTAAAAGAAAATTTTTTCAATTTTATCAAGAAAAATTATTAAATATTAAAATTCAACAACAAATTTATTCATTATGTTTATCAAATAAAGATTCAATTGTTCAAATTAAAGTATTTTTATCATTTAATAAGTTTTCTCATCTTCATTCATTAATATTAATTCAAAATGGATGATGAAAATATTATTCAATTGAAATTAATATTACCTATATTAATAGAATTAAATATATTTTATTTAATTTCTTCTCAATGTGATGAAGATAAAATAATATCTCATCTTTCAATGTCGAATTTAAAAATATTATCTATATTAACATATTTAATAATATCTTTAATACCATATTTAAATATTTTTAAATTTAAATTTAGTTATAATCGTATATATCGAAATGAAACATTTTTTTAATAGATATCTTCAATTTCAAAGTAATTTTTCATGTAAAAAAACATCAATGGTATACTCAATTATTATCAGATAAAGATTTATTATATACGTATTTATACAGTATCTTATCTATCAAATACATTTAAATTAGAATTCTATAATAAGAGACTTTCGAATAAGTTAATAAATACTATTAATACATTTGATAAAGTAATCAATCTAACATTGAATGATAAGCAAATAAAAAAAAAACAATCTTTTTATCGTTTTCCAAATGCTTGTTCATTAACATTAACCACATTAGAAGAAGGAATTAGTAATTCTTCATTACAAAAAAATAGATATAATATGTCTAAAAATGATTATTAATTTATCTAATTTAAAACATCTAGATATTTCAATGTGTTCAAAAATAATATTAACAGGAGAATTATTAGACACATTAAAAAAATCATCACAGTTATCATCAATAAAAATTAATTCAAATGATTTAATATTAATATTTAATCATAATCAATTATGTTCATATTTAAATAAAATGATTAAACAAAATAAATATATACAAATATGCTTAATGTTCATTCAATAATCTTAATGAATTAAAAAAAATTTTGTAGAATATTTTCAAATATTGAACATCTTATATGTAATATTCATGAACCAAAATTTGTATTATTTTTATTATATCGATTATTATCAGATAAAGATTTATTATATTGGACTCAAATGATGAGTTTCTATCGGAAAAAATTTTGAATCAGAGTTTACAAAAAAAATTAGCATTTTTCTGAGCCCTACCAGAAAATGTTTCACATCTTTAATAAGATGTCGTTTTCAGGAATGCCATCGAAAGCTACATCAAATTTCATTTAAAAAATTCATCCGTTCAGAAGTTGTTCGGTTTTCAATTCCTGGTGAAATTTTTTCGAAACGTCTCGAATCTTAAAAACGCCATTACTTCTGAACGGATCAACTTTTTTAAATGAAATTTGATGTAGCTTTCGATGGCATTCTTGAAAACGACATATCATTAAAGATGTGAAACATTTTCTGGTAGGGCTCAGGAAAAAGCTAATTTTTTTTTGCAAACCCTGATTTAATTTTTTTCCGATAGAAATTCATCATTTGGGACTCATGCTCTCTGATGGAGATCCAGGATACTGGAAAATCCTGGTTACGCCACTAGCTTATCGAAACGAGATGCTGTATAGCGTTTTATCATATTTGTTACTCTATCTATAATGGCAATAATCAATTTCACACGACTTTCTAATACGAAAATGTTTTTAAAAAAATCATAGAAATTACCACATTTAAAAGAACGAACGACATTTACGACGAAACATTTCTTGAACATCTTCTTTGTTGTCGTTTTCATTTTTTTCCTTCTGACTACCGAAAAAAAATTCAAACTCATCTATTCATTAAACAAGACATAGGCAACAAGTACCTATGAGTATGTGAATGAGAATGCAATCAGTGACGAGAGTGAGCTCAAATGTAGTATTTGTAGTGCCGAAAAAGAGAAAAAAAGTATTATCCAAATGTTTCTTCAATCGCTAAACTTCTATAAAGACAATGATGAAAGAAAATCTTCGTCGTCTAACAACAACTCGTCAAACAATAGTTACACATACAACTGAAGCAGAGATATGGAGATGCAAGCCAAAACCTCATTCCTTACAGATCGAGTATATATCTCGTCGAAACGATTCAATCTCTGGCATTAACCTCTACTGTAGATATCTTTTAGCATCTTCTGATGAATTCTTTTGTTTCTGGATTCTTGTTGGGATTTCAAGTGTGCAAGTAGACAAGACCATATGATTTTTTGAAACATGATTTGGTTTTTCAACTATTAATTCATATTTACAATGAGAAGGACCACCATGTGATCGAGCATATGGTAGAAGATGACTGCATACTAATAAGAATGCACAGTATAAATAATGGCAAAAATCATATTTTGGTACTCATTGAAAATTAATACAATAATTTCATTTATCAATGATTCAATTTGCATGTTTTTCTTCTTTTCTAACAAAATATACTGACTTTTTTTGTATATTTCTGTAAGAAACAAAAGTCGTGAAATATTTATGAATATTCTCACGCTGAAAGTATTGTAAGTTAGATGATGCAATATTGCTCTACGGTAAAAAAGCAATTGCACTGATAATACCATTTTCTTTTTTTTTCTTTGTCTTTGTTATATACTCGGTAACGATGATAGAGCGAAATAAATGCATCGTTGTGCTATGTAGTAACTTAATCTTTCTTTTAGATTCATCCGCACCTGTTTACATGCCTTATCATCACTGTCGTTATTATAAAAGTCGATGAGATTCTACGTAGTCATCAATACTTTTACGTTCTCTCACCCATCATGTCATCGATTGCGTTATTTATCGTTTTATTGGTCATTGCAGTTGCTCGAACAGCACCCATGCAAGATGAATCGTGCGACGCGCAAGCATATTCTCATAGAGACTGTACGGGCAATGTCCGAGTTCCGCGTGATTGCTTATCGGCCACTCTCGATTTGATTCATACTGATTTTGTTAAATCATGCAGTTCGGTGAATTTGTTCTGGTCCTATCCAGCGAACAATCTGACGATGATCATTGAAGCACAACAACATCAACCGTTCACGGTTACTTTTGACAACGATCAACTAATGGGTGCTATCTCACATGTCTATCGAATTATCGACAATCAAGAGATAGAAGTGACAACGACAGACAACAAGCTAGTTCAACACTCGGATTCAAAGGATCAGGTCAAACTGAAATTCGATGCTACACCCGAATTGATGTTTTATGGAGTCTTTATCAAGTATGATATTGTTTAACCAATGGAACCAGATGATTCCACTACTGTTTGATGAGTAAAATATAATAAAAAGCCAATAATGCAGAATACAACGAGTGAATCTAATTCTAACCTCACTATGTAAAACATGTAACTTAGTCAGAAAGTAAATTTCTTATTCAGAAAAGTCCGCTACTATGATATTGAGACAAGAGGAAAAAGCAGATCTCAGAAATATAAAAAAGATACTTGCTAAACTTGAGAGGTTAGTATTTTTTATCGATGTATCATAAGTATGAATGGTTTTCTCAAGCTAATATGAACAAATTTGAGAGAATTCGCGTTTTTTATCTGTACATGAATCCATATTCGAGTTCTTGAGACATTCTTGGTTTCTAGAATGAGACGTCTCCAGATATGTGACTTTGTTTCAAAAAGTACAGAAGAAATGTCGATAGTCACATTATAATTAGGGCTGCCCCTAAGCGGTGATGATTGAAGAGAGGAACGTCAACATTTTTTATGATTGATAATACCTTTATTCTCGCCGAGAAATGCATTCAAAAATCGCTTTTCGAAACGTTTCTTCATTAAGAAAATTCGACTTTTTGCACGCAAAGTTTGGCGAAAATCCTAGTTTGAGAAATTGGTTTGAACAATATGAATAGGTAATGAGAAAGGTGAAGAAGGAGGGGGAAGGGGAGTCATTTTTGAAAACTTCTTTTTCGACAACAACAATAATAAGATAGTAAGAAAACTAAAAATAAGCAAACCGAGATATTCACACAAAGGTGGCATCTGTTCTCTACTCTATTTAAAAAATCGAGACCGTTTTGCTAACAAAAAAAACTATACAGCACAGATCACATAGTGATGCTGAGTGGACTGATAACATTCAACTAAAATCATAATGAATAGAACTATATAAAGAATATCTCAAAAATTATGAACGATTCTAAATCCGAATGGAAAATTGACGTTTGACGGAGAACACACATTATCTTTTCACTTAGCTGACAGACGAACATCATCATCAAATACATCATGTATTGAGTTGAATCGTCCAGCCCAAATTTCATGTTTACTGTTATCAACACAGAAAATGTAAATGAAAATCAGGTATAATATTTTGTTTGAAGGATTAGTTTTAAGAAATTTCATATGATTGTTCTTTACGAAGAAAAATACAAATTGGCCAAAAATCAACGGTTTGTATTAAAAGCTCAAATCTGTTTATTGTAACTATCGTAAATAACAAGATTACCATCATCTTGCATTATAACAACAGTTGGACATGAAATTTTGTCATATCAAACTTCCGTGTATCTCTTATGAGATGATGAAAACTTCACGTAGGTTGCTTGAATCGTTTAATTGTTATTCAAGTTTAACCAACTTAAAATGCTTGATTCGAATCTCTTTCTGAGTTGCTAAAAGGGTTTGAATGTGGGGTATGTGTGATTGAGGAAGAATAACCTACACCCACACACCCCAGAATTATAGAAAGTAACATGTTCATCAATAGGAGATACTACATTTATTATACGGTATTGATTATGGCTATCATTTGAGTAGCCAATAGAATAGATGAAATTGTCAGTATGCAAAATAAAAGAATGATTAGTTTTCAAAATAATTAGGTTCGTTAATATATATAAATGAGTAAATTAAATTAATATAAAGTAGAGCAGCAATATCTGAATCTGTTTTGCTAGTACGATAATTGAACTTTCATTTTTTTTTCTATTTATTTTTCTCGTACTAAATTAATCTACATAAAAATAAAACTGTTTTCTTCTGCTAATAAAATTTTCACTTTTTTTCGTCAAGGTCGAATATTTTAAAATTATTTACTGATGCAAAATTATACTTGCATTAAATATTTAAAAATAATGACTCATCTTGAAGCTACTCTTTACATTGGTACATGTTTTCGTTGAATATTTAAATTTTGATTCAAAGAGAATTATCTAAGTATTATCGATTGTAACTTATAAACAAAAGTTATATAGATCATTTGTTCAATGCTTTGACAGTGTACTATAAGACTATTCGGAAGTGTGTTAGTAATTTCGAATATGTAAACGACATTCAATTTATTTATTTTTTTTTAATTGGATTTTGTTCTAAGCCATAAAAATAAGCGAGAAAAGATTACAAAAAAATTCATGAAAAAGAAAATTTTCGTCAGCAAATTTATGACTGACATA